ACCCTCACCACCTCATACCTTCCCTCCTACACCCCTTACCCCTTCCTACCCTCTCTCCTCCTCAACCACTCGTACCCCCCCTCCCTTTCTACTTCCTACCCCTCCTACACCTCTACCTCCCTACCCTTCCCCCTCCTCAACCACTCCTACCCCCCCACCCCCTACACCCCTACCCTTTCCTACCTTCTACACCCCCACCCCTTACACGCCTACCCCTTTCTACCCCTACACCTTCCTACCCTCACCACCTCCTACCCCGTTCCCTCCCCCCTACACCCTTACCCCTTCCTACCCCCTCCCCCCTACCCCTTCCTAATCCCTATACCCCCACCCCGCTGACCCTACCCCTACAACCCCCACCCCACTGACCCTAACCTTTCCTACCCTCACCATCGCCTACCCCTTTCCCTCCTACCCTCCCACTTACACCCCTTACCCCTTTCTACCCTGCCCCTTCCTCAACCACTCGTGTCCCCCCACCCCACCCCCACACCCCCCATCGCTGACCCTACCCCTTTCTAACCCCTACACCCCTACCCCTTCCTAACCCGCTGACCCTACCCCTTCGTACCCCCTTACACTCCCACCCCACTGACCCTACCCCTTCCTACACCCCCACCCCGCTGACCCTACCCCCTTACTACACCTCTCCCCCTCCCCCCAATCCCCTACACCGCTGACCCTACACCTCTTTCCATGAAAACATACAACCAAGAAGGAGGGAAATTGGTACAGAGTGGTGCATCTGGTCTTGTTTCCACCTTTCCAGTAATTCTCGATACAATTTTTTTTTATTTTCCGTTAGCAAGAGGCATGGAGAGGAAATTAATCGCCTCTTAGTGGATCTAGTTTCACATTACAGCTATGGAGCCTTATAATGCTCATTGGTTAGCATCTCATGAGTTTTTCGAGGAGCAGATAAGTTAATACAATCGAGCTAAAGTGCAGATTGAAGAACTACACTTTTGTGCCTTTTCCGGATTCTTTGGATTGAATGAAGTAGGAGACTGTTCCGTTATAGTTGAGAATGATAAAAATAATATAGAAGTCATTGTTTTTCTTGTACTTTTGGTGCAAGAAGAGCATTCAATTTTGAACAAAGAATGTGTAAAGCAGACACCCTATCTGTACATACTTCCTGCACCATCTTGGTAAGTATTAATGAATGCATTTGAGTTATCTAGAAAAGGTAAAAAAGCAAAAGAATGCAATAATCTCCAAACTAAACTTCTTCCCTATTCTGATCAGATTCTTCTCCATTATTTATCAAAGTTAAAATTCCCCTTTCTTTTTACTGAAACGTGTACATGTCCAATGCCTTCAGGCAATAACTTCCTTGGCATGATGAAACATATATAGCTTCAACAATTACGATAAATGAAGACCACTAATGAATCTGAAAGTATTTAGGAGAAATAATACTTTTATTGATAGATTAAATTTCAATTACAACATCAATGGTAAAATAAAACGATGGAATCAAACAACGAAAAAGAAAAGTAAGTAAGAACCCAATCTGTCCAAGGCATTCGAAGAATCAACCTAGAAAACTATAAGGAAGCCCACCATTAAGATGCAAATATCAGAAAGGATATAGAACAGAGTGAATAGCACATCGCTACTCAGCCATAATGTTTTCTTCATATTTTTGAAAGATCAGTCATACTAGATTATACAATATTAAAGAAGTGAAAAACTTGTAATGACAAAAGTCTGAATGCAGAAGATGAGCATACCATTTCCACTCATCGACTGTGATTGATCTCCTGAACCTAAAATAAATATTCCCTTTGGGGAAAGAGAAACATTGTCTCAAAAAACTGATTGGAGAGATTGTGAGCTAATATCTATTCAGGTGCTAGATATTTAGGTGATCAAAGAAAGAAATAGATAAGGACACAAGATTTACTGAACAAACTTGTTGCAGAGCTCGTTGAAGCTCCTGTTCTAGTTGTGTCAGCTTCATCTTGTTGCTCTCCAACTGCTGAACATATGCCCAGACCAACAAAAAAACAATATAGGGATATAATGTCATTACAATCGGTGCACATTGATGTAGGATACACATTGAAAGTGTGACACTTTAGCTCATTATGTGACACTTGTAAAGGGAGAAATTGCTGAATCAGAATTTTCGGTTTTTAAATTGACAGTTACAAGCATTTATCGCGAGGGCAATATGACAAAAGTTACAATACACAGATCAAATCCTTCATTTGTTCAGGGTTGACTAGATTCTGAATTAATACATTCTAACATTAAACCTTTCTTTTTCATCTTGATTAGTATGATGATACTGTACTTCGAGACCCACCAGATAAAATTTAAATGGAAAGATCTAGTCAGGCAGATTTTGGATGACCGCTAACATAAGGACTGTTAATTGCATTTCCATATTAATCTCAAGTAAAATGAATAGAGTGTATATCACATGAAACTGCAAATAGTGCCATCGAAAGAGAACTCACCTTTTTCCTTAGACGACTTTTTCGAGTAGCTTCACGATTTTGAGCAAGTCTACGGAGTGTCTCCACAAAAATAGCTCAATATCATAGAAACGTTTCTTTTCCTCACATTCCATCATTCGATATGTGATGATAAATGTGATACCTTTTGATCTTTCGGTCTTTCACTTCCATCAGAAGCTACGGCACACAATTGTTGATTTAGGAACTGCACCAACAGAGATCAATTAATATCACTTTCATTAACTTTTAGTACTTATTAGTTTCAAGGATAAAAGCTACACAGTAAGATTCAGGAAAGTCTGGATTTATTAGTTAATGGTCTTCTTTAATCAGGAATGTTTTCTATTTCTTCTTCTTATCCAATATCTAGGAATTAGGTTAATCGATCAAGACAATGTTGTGCTTTTTCTTTTTTTTCTTGAGATGTTTGATAATAGATGCTGCTTATCAAGCAGGAAGAACAGTTTCAAGAAAAGCCTAGTCAGTAAGGTGTTTGTTCTTAATAACCCTTACTAGTGTACCTAGCTAACGTGAAAACTGTGTTTTGTAATGCTTTACATGAGCCGATGGTCTTGTTATTTAACTCTCCGAGATGACGAACACATGAATATTCTATCATCTAACTCAATGTCATAACAGTATTGCCACTACAATACTTGAGAACTGCAGGCATGATTCATTCACATGTACCAATTGTACACAGATTGTAGTGTCTATGTAGGTCACATAAATTTGGGAAAGGTATGTACATACTCATTACGGGTGTAACTTGTAAGTATTCAGTAAGGTTTTTGTTTTCTAATCTAACTTAAGTTATCACACCGTGACTCAAAGTAAATAATTAAGACTAAATCTCCTTGTATTAGCAGCAAGAATTCAACCCGAGACAAGGACTGATTTGAATTGCAATGGAAGGCAAAATATAAATCTAAACTTTAGCTTTAATCATATTAACAATCAAGAGTTAATTCTAGTTGCAATATGAACAAGGGAAACATGGAACGTAAAATCAAGGTTTTCAATAGAAAACTAATGTGTAAATATAAGATTATTTTTCAAAATCTAATCAGGACAAAGTAACTATATCATCTTCAACTACAATTAATGTATGAATTCCCAATAAAATGGAAGAAGAAAGAAATATAGAAATTAAACAGCCCAAGCTTAGCACAATTAAATCAGCAACATACAGACAAAATATTTCAAAGAAACATAAACTATCGAAACAACTCAACAGAAACAAAAGAGATTACCTTCTTTAAAGCAACAAACTGGAACCGCGAGGAGTTTTCTAGTGATTCCAACTCCGACTTTGAGTAACGAATGGAAATGTTTTGGAGGCCATAGGCGGCAAAACGAACAGTGAACAAAGTCTGTAAATTCAGAGAAAAAAAGAAAGGGGAAAACGGATTTGGGGTGAGGAAGACAGTGAATAGCCGTTAGGAATTTGGGGATTTTGAAATGAGGTTTGTGTTAGCTGTTAGGAATTTGGGGTTATTTATAGGTTGGGTATGAAATTTGCTTTTTGAACCCAAGAGTGATTAGGTTGTTGCCGCTAACAAGCTTTTGTTTTGGGTTTAAATTAGATTTGGACAAACTTGTGGTATTTTACCTAAATAAATTAGATTGAAACAATTTTAAATCAATAAAATTAAAAATGAGATAAATTATCCAAAAGCTAATCTAAAACTTGTCTTCAAAATAGATTGAAACTTTTGTAAAATAAATTATTTTACCTAGTTTGAAATTGAGGAAGCTCGAATAATTAATCGGATTATGGAGGTCAAAATTGGGTGTTGTCAATAGTGAAGTCTCTACGATAAAATATTCATTTATAAAGAGACATTATGTATTAAGTTCCTTTTGTACTTACGCTTTCTTTAAAGATGATTGACAACTATTTAAAAAGAAAATCGCTCATATTTTAACCTGTTTGATCATAGACTCATTGGGGTAAGCAAGGAATTCCCACTACAGAAAAACGAAAATATTGCGGCGGTTTTATTACGGCGGTTTCCAAAAACCGCCACAAATATAAAATAATACGACGGTTTATAATACGTCATTTTAAATATTTTAGTAGTGGCGGTTCGGACTTAAATCACGACGGTTCAAACCGCCATTAATATTTTTAAAAATTTAAAATTTACCCAACAAAATTATTATATCCTTTGATTTACTCATTTATTTATTAAAGTAGTCTAATTTGTCCAACTATATTTATTACCATCTTTTCCTTACATTTAAATTTTCCTTAAATTTTCTCATCTATTTTAGTATATTTAATTATTATTCTCCTTTCCTTAATAATTATAAATATTAGAATATTAAATATTTATTACTCAAATGCAATAAAAAAAGCAATTTGCCTAGCTGACAGCCATTTAAATTGCTAATTACTAAAATTATTTTATTCTTATTTCCTTATTTCCTTATTTACTTCCTTAGTTCCTTACTTCAAAAGCATTTATGCTCTGCAGCCGAAGGATAAAGAAAGCTCTCAATCACTCCATTCCTAATTTGGTGGGATATTGAGCTCTCAATCACTCAATAAATCAAGCTCAAATCACGGTAAGCTCTCAATTCACTTTAATTAACACTCAATTCACTGTAAATTTACAATGTAAGCTCTCAAACCTCAACCAATTGTAAGTTTTTTGAGTGAATCTGAATTTTTTATGAATCTATTTATCATCTATTTGTTTGAGTTTGTAGAGATTTGTTTGGGTCATGCATGTTTGAGTTTGTAGCGATTTGTTTGGGTCATGCATGTTTGAGTTTGTAGCTTTTAATTGTTGTTATATTTATGTACAATTTTGTAGAGATTTGTTAGGGCTTTTAATTGTTGTTATATTTCCATACTATTCTGTAGAGATATGTTAGGGCTTTTAATTGTTGTTATATTTCTGTACAATTCTGTAGAGATTTGTTAGGGCTTTTAATTATTGTTATATTTCTGTATTATTCTGTAGAGATTTGTTTGGGGTTTTACTTTTTGTTATATTTCTGTACAATTCTGTAGAGATTTGTTAGGGGTTTTAGTTTTTGTTATAGTTCTATCTTATTCTGTAGAGATTTGTTGTTATAGTTTGATTTTGCATGTTATAGTTTAGTTGTAGTCCAAAGAGGAGCCTTACAGAAATACTGAAGTTATGATCTAGAGTTCACTTTCTTTTCCAGTTTCGAGCCTTAGAGTTCACTGAAGAAAATTCTCAGTAATTTTGGCATTTGATAGGTTCTATTTTTACTTTGATTGTTTGGGATGTAGATTGAGAATCTGATAGTGATGATGTAATATACAAAATACTAGATATGAGTTCTGCAAACTAGTTAGTGAACTACAGTTCTTTTACTCAATTAAATAAGAAAATTAGAGTATTTTTCTTGAAAATAAGGAATTCAAACTGTTAGCATTACAATTAGAGTATTTTTCTTGAAAAGCTTAGTTGTTATTTACACTTTTCATTTTGATATTATTTAATTTTAAGTTGAATTGCTATGTCGTTCTTTCGAGCCATGTCAATTGATAAATCTTGGATTGGCAAGCCAAGAAATACTCCTGAATATGTAGATGGGGTTAGAAACTTTCTGAATTTTGCCTTTGAGTATGGATCTATTGACGGACATGTAATTAAGTGTCCATGTTCGAGGTGTGGCTTCAATAAGTGGCATGAAAGAGATGTTGTTCAAGAACACTTAACTTTAAAGCCTTTTCCAGAAAATTATAAATTTTGGTATTTGCATGGTGAAAATTCAAATGCAACTATAACACAAACATTTCAGAGTACACGTGCTGTAGAAGAGACCTTGCAGCCCCATAGTCCAATGGAATTCATGGTTAATAATGCGTCTAGGTTCATTGAAAACAATATCAATGTACCTGATGTGTCTTGTGAGCCTATAAATGGAGAAAAAATATTAAAAAAAGAGCATACTGAAAGGCAGGATGAAGATTATGCCAAGTTATTTGAATTGATTGAAGATGGCAAGCAACCATTATACGAAGGGTGTAAGAAGTATTCCAAATTGTCCTTTCTAATCAGATTGTATCACATAAAGTGTTTGTGCCGAATGACTGACAAAGCGATGGGTATGATATTGGAATTGTTAAAAGATGCCTTTGAAGATGCCAAGATTCCTGCTTCATTTTATGAGGCCAAGAAAACCATCAATAAACTTGGTCTTAATTATACCAAGATACATGCTTGCCCAAATGACTGTATGTTATATTTTGGAAAAGACGATGAAGGCTTGCAAGAATGCAAAAAATGCAAGACATCTAGATGGAAAGATAAAAATAAAAAGCAACCTGCAAAGATTTTGCGTTACTTTCCACTAAAGCCAAGGCTGCAAAGACTGTACATGTGCTCTAAAACTGCTGAATCTATGAGATGGCATTTTTTTGGGGGTAATCAAGATGGATTGATGAGACATCCCAGGGATTCTCAGGCTTGGAAAACATTTGACTTGCTTCATCCTGAATTTGCTACGGACCCTCGAAATGTACGGCTAGGCCTAGCTAGTGATGGTTTTAATCCCTTTGGAGCAATGTCAACAACCTATAGTATTTGGCCAGTGATTCTTATTCCATACAATCGTCCTCCTTGGGAATGCATGAAGCAATCTTCATTCATTCTCTCAATGATCATTCCAGGAAAAAAAATGCCAGGAAATGACATAGATGTCTACTTACAACCTCTTATCCAAGAGTTGAGGGAATTGTGGTACGATGGAGTACAAACATTTGATTCTTCAAAAAAAGAAACATTTAAAATGCGTGCAGCTTTAATGTGGACAATTAGTGATTTTCCCGGGCTCGGTAACTTATCTGGATGGAACACATACACTGAGTTTGCTTGCCCCACATGTAATTTTGCTACTGATTCTTATAGGTTGATTCATAGTAGAAAATGGTGTTTTATGGGACATCGTCGTTTTCTTGAAAGTGGCCATCGGTTTAGATTACAACGACTTCGTTTTAATGGAAAAATCGAGCAACGGGAGCCACCAATTACATTATCAGGATCAGACATCTTGAAACAAATGGAGGGCATTCCAGTTAATTTTAGGAAAAAACCCGAGATGAATAATAAGCGCAAAAGAGCTAAAGGAAAACTTGTTAAAGATGAATCGAGACAATGGAGAAAGAGAAGCATATTTTTTGACCTTCCTTATTGGGAATCTAACTTGTTGCGTCATAATCTAGATGTTATGCACATTGAGAAGAATGTGTGTGAGAATTTGATATACACTTTGCTTAGTGATTCTGAAAAATCAAAAGACAATCCTCAAGCTCGAAAGGATCTTAAAGAAATGGGTATAAGACAAGAACTTTGGCTAGATGAGAATGGAAATTATAAGCCTTCTTTGTTTACTATTTCAAATACAAAGAAAAATGGTTTTAAGAAAGATGTATTTTTGAGAACTTTAAAGAATGTCAAAATGCCTGATGCATATGCAAGCAACATTTCGAGATGTATTGATTTGAAACAACGAAAGATCTTTGGAATGAAGAGTCATGACTTTCACATTCTCATGGAACAGTTGTTACCAATTGCAATACGTAAAGTTTTACCTGATAAGGTGACTGCCGTGCTAATGGAGTTGAGTTCGTTCTTTCGACAACTATGTGCCAAAAACTTAAGTCTGTCAGACCTTGACAAGCTGCAGTCTGGATATGTTCACACTATTAACCACTTAGAAATATTATTTCCTCCCACATTCTTTACAATCATGGTTCATTTGACTTGTCAGCTAGTCGCTGAAGCAAAACTTGGGGGTCCAGTGCAGTTTCGGTGGATGTATGCTATTGAAAGGTAATTAAGATTTCATTTTTTAATTGGAAGTTATTCTTTAAGTCAAATATGTAAAATTGTATCTATTTACTAATTATTCATCTTGTGATCAGGTATTTAGGACACTTGAAGTCCTTTGTGCGAAACATGTCACAACCAGAAGCTTGCATAGCTGAAGGACACGTTGCTGAAGACGCTCTTAACTTTTTTTCTCAATATCTTGAAGAGATCGAGACAAGAACTAATAGGCCACGCCGTGTTAACGATTATCCTGAGGACAGAGGCTCAACAAATTCTAGTATTTTTCCACCAGTTGGTAAAGGAGTAGGAGCTGAAACATTTGAGTTGTCACCTATGGTGAAACGCCAAGCACATCGATATGTGGTACTCAATTGTCCACAAGTCATGCCATTCATTGCGTAAGTATTTAAGGAGTTTTGGCCATTTAGCTTTAAATTTGGTATCATACACATGTGTTGAATGTATATTAAACTATTGTCGAAATGAGTGAATTGATTTTACTGTACATGATTTAGAAAATTGTTGAGCTTGTAATCAGGAATTCAAAATTAGCAATTTGGATGTTCTATTGAGTTATTGAGCTAGTAGATTATTTTCAGTGTGAGTTGAATCTTTGCCATGTTTCATGTAGTGAATTTAAAGATAATATACGAAGTCGGTGGAAGGGTCGGAAGCCTTCAAGTACGGATATAGAGAAGATAGTTAATAAAGACTTTATTGATTGGTTTCCTCGAAAGGTTAGTTACATAACATATTAGTGTTATATTTTTAAAACTATTTACGGCGTTTCAAACCGTCGTGATATATAAATATTTTTTTACAATTACGACGGTTATAAACCGCCGCTCTATACAACAAAAAATGTCGCATTAACAAAGGAATATTGCGACGGTTTATATATATATATATATTACGACGATTTCTTAAAAACCGTCATAAAATGTTTGTGACAGACGAGATTATGACAGTTTCGTAAAACGTCGTTATATTGTATTGTGACGGTTTGAAACCGCCGTATTACCTATAAAAAACCGTCGCAATAACCATGTTTTTTTTGTAGTGTCCAGATTAAATTGAATTTGTATTTTCCAACTGAATTGAATAAGCATTTGTAACAGTTCGATTCAAAGCATGCTGGTAATTTCAATTTACTCACTAAAAAGCAATACAATTGTTGAAACCCTACTACTATTTTTTTTTGGTAAGTAAACATTTTATTTACCAAGTAAACGTACCCTACTACTAATATTTATTTAATCTGATTCTCAACAAATAGAGACCTTTCCTAGTTATTTGATTCTTGACTTTACAATTTGGCTCTCACTAAATTTTTGACATCTTGCATGATGGAATGCCATTATCTCTTGGAACATAAAATAAGCTAACAAGAACATAGAGTGAACGATCAGCTATATTATAAAAGCAACAATGAAAGCTAGAAAAGATGAACAAGAAGTAAAAACATAGGCAAAAATGACCAAGCAACTAGAAAACAGATGCAATAACGAACAGGAGAAGTAGAAGATTTGACAGAGACAATAATTGATCAAGATTCTATCTCTAATACAAGTTGAAAGACGTTGATATAGAATAAATTTTGGGGGAATAATCGGATAGGAATAGGTCAAATTCCCAATTCGAAATTTGAATTACTTTTCAAAGACAAAGAATATACCAGAAATTATCAACAAATTCGAACGAATTGATGAACATAGCTGGAGCTTGTACTGGTGTCGGGGTCGCTGGGAAGAAGACGACGAAGCTATGGTGTATCAACAAAGGTATCTTTGAATTTGAATGTTGTAGAGACGCCTTAAACATAGTGTTGTGAACGTTGCAATATCCTACTGTGAACATTGGGAAAAAGCTTATTTGAAAAAAATGCCAAATTAGAATCAAGTTTCATTTCATATAGTAACATATTTTAATATATTTTTTTACATATTTTAAGTTGTTAATTATTGTGTATTATAGTACTTTTATGTAATTTTTAAATAATATATGGTATTCCCGTTATTTTAATTTATGTGGCACTAATAAAATTTTAAGAGTCATTCGAATTGTTTTATATGTTTTTTCAAATATTTTAAGTTGTTAATATTGTAATATATAGTACTTTTTTGCATACAACTAATACTTGTTATTCTTTGAAAATAAATTTCCATTTTTTTTTCTAATTTGAAGACGGAACTATGTTTTGATTAATTTCTTACCATGAATATTTGGAATACAATTTATGTTTGGGTAATTTATATTTTGTAATTTTTTTTAAAAAAAATATCAAAGCAATTTTAACTTTATCATTCTACCTGAAACAAACGACGAAATTTGTTTATAAAATTATTAGTACTGCGCTCAGTCAAAAAGTATAAATTTATGATTACAGTAAATCATTTTTTCTCTAAAGTCATCATATGCTACCCCTTACTAGTTGGAGAAAAAAATATTGTAAATCACGATCATTTTGAAATTTTATCTTATTTTAAATTGAGAATTGAAAGAAAAAAATAGAATAAAAGAAAAAACAAAAAGGAATTACCATCATGCGCTGACATCACTTTTGTTATCTTTTAGGAGTGAAATTTGTCCTTCAGCTTCTCAATATTTATCGATATATGTAAATAATTGTGCAATAATAAAAGAATAAAGTTAGGGACAAAAATAAAACAAAAAAAAGTGACAAGGCTAATGCATGTTGACACAAGCAAAACATAATATGTAACTTAATAATTATTATTAAATTTTTAAGGAAAAATATACATACAACTATATAATAAGTTACACTTTAGTTTGATGTCTTCATATGCTTGTTAATGGTTTGGACAAAAAGTCCAATTTGTTCCATTGTTGAAAAAATACCAAAAAAACATCTTAGGTAAAATTAAAATAACAAAAAAGGACCTCTCAATAATCTCTCTAACGGTAAAATAAGGTTGCATACGCATCACCTTTTCAGATTCTGTTTATGAAATTACACTAAATATATTATCATTAGTTGGGCGGAATTGGAATACCCAAAAAGAAGAGAAGGATATATCACCCATTAATATATAATGTAAGGGAATTTTAATGGCAATACCAATGCAATTAAATCCTAATTACTTTAAATTGTATACTACTACTACTACCTAATAGTATACAACAATATAATTCAACTATTGTATATCTTCAAGGTATACAACTTAGTGAATTAAATATCGCTGTCTATGCGATACAAAACTAGAGGTATGTATACAATACAATTACGTACACACATCAAGGGCCAAAAAAAAGGGCATACATGTATATCTATAGATAGATTTTATAACGACTACGCCTCAATCTCAAACGATACGATGAAAAAAATCAATAGCTAAATAACAATGCAAAAATTTGAGGTATTATAAGTGAGTGTTCATTTCCATTAACCTAACTGGAACCATTAGATATTCTAAAATACAACAACAATTCGTTAATCACACACTATTTTAGTTAAATATGAAACAATGTTACACATACCATTATATAAATATATTTATCCAGCAGCTCAACTTTCCAACAAAGAGGTTTCTCATTTACAAATGTCACCAAGGGTCTTTCAAAGCAGTGTATTAGAAAGTGAATTTTGAAATGTGAGATTCTCACACACGCGCACCCATATGTGAGGTACCGACCCTGAAGCATGGGTTCTACAGAACCCGTGAATTCATGGATGGATTTGCTACTGCCTCCCACATTCCAAAGCAAATTTATGTAAATTATCATCACTAAATAGGAGTCAGCCTTAAAGCAATGAGTAGGAGATCCATAAAACCCCTCCTTCTTCGAAACAAATAAACAAACCTAAGGCTTGGAAAAGAGAATCCCCAAGATAGATCTTAAATGCAACTATTAACGCCAAATCCCAGATCTACGAATGTCAGAATCCATCAACTATTTCACAGCAGGAGTATGTACTACTCTTAAATTAACAAGGGAATAAGCACCTTATAGGCTCTCTGAAACTTTCAAATGACTAGAAAATTTGAATTCACTGTCACAGAGCCATTATAAGGAGTGGTAAAAATTAAAATGTTCTCAGCCAGCATGCAACAACAAATATGCAACTGCAGGTAGCTGGCCATTCTAGTAGACATGAGAATATGTCATCAGTTGGCTAAGAGTATATGCCTTTGCCGCATCCCTCTTTATCCTGAATATGTCATCATAGTTTGCCAAGATTCCATCGACTATTATGCGAAGTTCAGCATCACCAGCATGAGAATTAACAGCTCCCCTTAACTTATTAATTCGTCGGTTCTGCTCTTCCAACCATCATGCATATTTTACATCAAATGCCAAAGCTCCTAGAAGGACCAGAAGTTGCATTACTTTGATAAAATTTTATATTCAAGCTTTGCAAATCAATTATTCCGAATTCAAGGGCATTCCATGTTATATAAAGGAATAAAGACCACCAAAAAGCTGATGATTCACTACCCCAAGAACAACAATTATTGATGACTAATCTAAAAGCTTCTTTCATGGTTTAAGCTTCTCCTCCATGATTACATACAACCAAGGAGGGAAATTGGTACAGGGTGGTGCAGCCTAAGCAATAGGCATAGAGAGGAAATAAATCGCCTCTTAGTGGATCTAGTTTCACATCAAAGCTATGGAGCCTTATAATGCTCCTTGGTTTGCATCTCATGAGTGTTCCTAGGAGCAGATGAGTTAATACAGTCGAGCTGAAGTGCATATTGAAGAACTACACTTTTGTGCCTTTTCTGAAGTTATTGTTTTTCTTATACTTCTGGTGAAAGAAGAGCATTCATTTTGAACAGACAAATGGATTATCTTGATGGATGAATGTTTAAAGCAGACATCCGATGTACATACTTCCTGCACCATCTTGGTAAGTATTAATGAATGCATTATTTGAGTTAACCAGAAAAGGTAAAAGAAAAAGAATGCAATAACCTCCAAACTAAACTTCTTTCCCTATTCTGGTAAGATTCTTCTCCATTCTTTATCAAAGTTAAACTTCCCTTTCTTTTTTAATGAAATGTGTACATGTCCAATGCCTTCCTTGGCCTGATGAAACACATGGGCAAATATAGCTTCGACAATTACGATAAATGAAGACCACTAATGAATCTGAAAGTCTATAGGAGAAATAGTAATTTTATCGATAGATTAAATTTCAATTAGCTCAAGTGGTAAAACAAAACAATGGAATCAAACAACGAAAAAAAGAAGTAAGTAAGAACACATCAGAAAGGATATAGAACAGAAAGTGAATATATACAATCATTAACAAGGTTCACCAATTCCACCAATAATCTACTTGTACTTGGTGATAACACCTTGTTACGCAGCCATAATGTTTTGTTCATATTTTTGAAAAAATCGGTCGTACTAGATTATCCAATATCAAAGAAGTG